CCCTGCATTCTGGCTTCAGTAGGTGCTGTGTCCTGCCCTGCTGCTGGCCGGTGTGTCGCAGAGGTCCTGAGCTTGGAGAATCTTCTTACAGTGTGTTCTCAAGTGCATTTGGGGTGAGTTTTTGCAGGGAAAGGAACGTTTTTCCAGCCACGATGTTTGAGTCCACAGGTTGCAGAGAAAGTACTTTAGAGACAAGAACCTGTGGTAATTTGTCGCTGCCTGCCCATGTAATGAAGAATTAAACTTAGCAAGTGATGCTGCTACTGAATCAGGAACAGTGTAAGGGGTAATTTATCTTTGGAGCACTCGAGTCTGCCAGTGGTTTTCTTGACACTAGATCTGCTGTGGAATCTGACTTAGTTAATTATTTTGCCTCAGGGGGGACTTTATTTTGGTATCAGTAAATTCACTTGTACAAGTCCACTGAGGAAAAATTGCACTGAGGTAGAGTTCAGCCTACAAATGACATTGCTTTTATGAGGGCAAAGATGTGCTGCCTGGGTTACACAATAGTTGCTGCTCACAACGAGCTCCCTGTATTATTGCTTCTGATGGGAAGTGTCTCGTGTCCTTGACCCTGTTTCCTAATCGCTGGGGTGTCCTGCAGGGGTACACCCCATGGCTACCAATGGTATTAAAAACTTCTGCCCTTTCCTGTTGCTCGTCCCCTAAGGCCTCTTTGCCGTAGCAGGTGATATTATTCATAGTACATCATGCACATCATGAATTGCATATGGAGAAAAGCATCTGGCTTCTTCATCGGGGTTTCTATCTGTGAATGTTGAAAAGCAGATACCACTCGTATTCTTCAACTAAGGTAACTCAGAATATTTTTTTTTTCTGACTAAATGCTTATTAAAAATATTAAGAAGTCAGGGAGGCAGACATTACGTTATCTCCTGTCTCCTGAGATGACAGGAAGAATCCCAACTCTCTGCCTAGAGGTGCAGGAGCTGATGGCTTTGCTGTGTGCACGGCCGAGTACAATACAGCTGGGCTCCTGGGGAGGATCATGTTCGGAATAAAGAATTTTCCAGGCTGTGGAGCAGTGCTCCTTCCTGGCTGTGGTATTTTGATCTTCCTGGAGAGGAGAATGAACAGGCACATGTCCTTTGTAACCTAGTACAGGTTGGAGCTGGATCCTCTTGAGGTTTTCAGTAATTTGTTGTGTGAGGAAAATATCTGCAATACAGAGGTCACCTCTGTTCTTTGCAATCCCTGTAAGCCCTGCGAAAACACTCCCAGCATTTAATCTGATGAAAACCAAGTTGCTCTTTATCTGATGACTGGTAGCGTTGGGAAGTAGCACACCTCAAGGTTGTGGTGATGACCTGCTTCTCTGCACTGAGCACAGCTTTATAGGATGCAGCTTCTGCTTTGCCATTGCTGCCAGCCATCTCTGTTCTGTGTTCTTGCTATGCTTCACTGGTCACCTCACTGATACGCTTAAAAACGGTATTACAGCAAGTAAATCTAGGCTGGATAGTGGTTTACGCACATAACTACATCTTTACTATGTCTTCCTCTCTTCTCTCTTTTAACTGTATCACTGTAGCATCAGAAGCATTAAAACAAACACAGATGTGTCTGCGTGTGCCGGTTCCAAGCACGTGCTTTTCTTTCTGTGTGCTGTCGTGAGTATGGCATCAGTAAGCTGTTCACACGGTAGTTTGACAGGAGTTCAGAGGTCCTGCTTCCAGAGTTTAGTGTGAATCTGGAAAAGCATCCATGAGAACTTCCTTTCTACCCACTCAATTTCTGTTATTTCCTGTGGGCACCTGGAAATAGTGCTTAAAAAAATTAAAAATCCCAAGTGGAAGCATCTTGCCATGGTTCTGCTAAATACTTTATGGTGGATGATCATCTGAACACGAGCAGTTGTGGGAGCTGTAGCCAGCCAGTACAACAGAGAGTGCTGGATACACTTCCATTTTAATGGTTAAACTGTGCACTTAGTTTGTTTACTGCAGTATCCCGGTGTTTATATATAGCTTAAGAATATCTCAGAGTTTGCTGTTCAGCTGCTGTGTACTGGAAGGGATCCTTAATACTTAAGGCTAGAATAATCCAGTTCTAAAGTGAATCTAGACTTTGTAGAAATGCGTACTAGCTTGGAGGCTGTTATAGTTGTTGAAGTGTAGCTTGACCTGGAACCACTGATACGTTTCTGCTGAGCAGTAATGCTAGTGATCTTGCAAATTTAGAACATACTGATGTTGCTAGGACTTTTCCACTAAAAAAAATTGTTTCTTTCAAAAAAGCATGAAATATCACTGTCCTTTAATTTGCTTAGGAATTGATTTTTAAGTTAAAGATGGATGGCTGAGAAGGCTTCTGAAGCTGGATTATGACCGTGTAGGAACTTGTACAGGTATAACACGGTGTAAAGCTGTTAACAGCTGTTTAGCTTGATACAGAAATGACGTTAATGATGAACAGTACTGATAGGAATGACAATAAAGTCATTAACACTGTCTTTATGGTTGAAGTGCTGCATGGTCATTGATGGTCTTTGAGTGCCAGTGCAATGCTGCAGCCAATTTTCTAATATGCTCATAGCTTTACCTATCAATAAAAAAAATGCCCTGACTCTAGCTACTCATGGTCAGCCATGCATGCTTCCAGTTGAATAATAATGCCACTTTCTTTATGTTCAATTATTCTCGGTGTTGAAGTTACTGCTTACAGAGCACTGAAGTGTGTGGCACATCACAGGGCAGAAGCTGACTTCCCTTCTCAGAAAACTAGAGATACATCAACTTCTCTGTTAGGAATCTTTATCTTCTGTTAAAAATAGCATGCAAGACTGCTGAAACATTGTCAGATATCATGGCTGGCTTGCTTTAGACATTTGAGTCCGTTGTTTTATCTGTGTTACTTTTGTGTAGGTTCTAGAAGAAAAAAAGGAAAAACATTTTTAAAAGGATAATTGGACACTGTCAGAACTGAAAGTGGGACTATATTTCATAGAGGTATAGTAGTCCAATCAAATATATTAAAATTGTAATTAAACTTCAAAGACTATAAAGGCATGTGATTAGCATGCACGCTAAAGTGATTACAGATCTTAATGCTTGATTTTTTTACATCGGACATTAGTGTTGATGACTTCTGTTTTATGCCTGCAGTGCCTTAAGCAATATTACATAGTCTGGACTTCTGAAATAGGAAGTTAATGGTAAATAAAGTAGTCTCTTAGAATATTCATATATGGATTTATAATGTCTTTGTAGTTGAACAGAGCATAGGTTTAAGGAAGGGAAAGGTATGAACTTCATAGTTTGCTTATATATAGATGAAAACAGTAGTTAGACCTTGTAAGTCACCACTGTGCTCCTACTGATTAGGATGTATTTTGATTTGGAGATGATGCAATTTGTGTATGCTTGTGGGTTTATTCTGAAATGGACTTTGCAGTTATAGCTGTGGAAAGCGTGGAGGTTCAGATTGAAAGAAAGAAAGAGTAGATGTATAATTAATGCAGATACACTTTCCTTCTGGAGTAGTGAGAAGTTCTGTAGCTCTCAGAAACTTGTGCAAGATGTCAGTCCAAGGGTGATTATCTTATTAGTAAGTTACTTTGAACCAAAACCTTTCACTCTAGGTCTGTGAAATGTCGTGTTTTATAGATGGAGAAAAGCCTTACAGAGTCTGTCTTGTAAAGCACATCACTACTGAACTACAAAGAACCAGTAGTGAGACCAAATAAAGAGGTTTCCCTAGAGGTCTACAACTTAGCAGCCATGCTGTGACCTTTCTTCCCCTGTTTTTCAGCCATTTTTCAGTGGATTAAATTGGGTGGACACTATTGTCTCTTATGCTTAAGTGAAATGCTTAGAATAACATTCTAAATAGTTTCTTCTCCCTGCTTCTTTTCCTTTCTCCCTCAATTTTAATTTTGTGAGTAGTATTCTGACTTTTGTCTGTCTTATTCTAAATAAGCTAGAATTGTTTTGGGTTTTTTACATAATGTAGTGGGGCCACCACGACCACCACCTTTCTGGTGTGTTTTTTCTATCATGGAAAAAAAAATACAGTTAAGTACCTGGCTCGTTCCTGCGCAAGCCACTAGTTTATTTTACTTTCACTGCAAGGATACTGAAGTCTACGCATATGTGAATAGACTTAAGAGGTCTCTGTACTGGTGTATGGCTGCACTGCTGTATTGGGGATAAAGAGGAAAATGATCTGAGGAAACTGTTCAACACACTGAAAAAATCAGATGCAAAATCTGATTGAAAAAAAAATACTGAGAAGTGTTACTGCATGTGGTCTTACTGTTTACTGATCTTTTTATTAAGGTTGCTTTGAGTCATTGTTCAGGTGAGAACTGCTTTAGGTTGCTGTGGGCTGTAGCAGCATGAGGATGCTTTCAGGGATGGTTTGGTCTTTCCTATCCCTTCTCACTATGTGGGTGCTTTTGAAATGAAAACGCCATTGTGCCTTGGCCAAGGAAAATACGGAAAAAATTGCAGAAAATCTGCTATTTCAGCTGTAGTCTAGCATTCAAAATTTTCATCTCTAATTAAAACAAAACCTGCCTTGGATGTCATGTGCAAAGGTGCTTGTATCATAGCACTGTTGAGCTCAGAGGTGAATGTTTAAGGCGATCACTGCAGTCTTTGCTCTCTGTTGCCATCTTGGGGAGAAGACTGACAGAGGTTCCGGGTGGGTGAGAAGGGTGGTGCTACGAATGCATTCAGTAACAGGTTTTTTTAAAGTACAGTGAGTGGTTCTGTTCTTCTGACAGTTGCTTCTATATTCAAAATAAACGTCATTTAATTCTGCTTTTCATGGTAATTCAGGAATTGAAACAACTTAGGTCTTGCCAAATTTATTAGACAACGTAGTAAAGGGAATATCTGTTTGGAAGCCTTTCTAAAGGCCGAATAAATACATATAGGTTCATAGGTTTTTTCCTTTTGTTTTTTAAGGAGGAGAAAGTGATGCTGAAACTTATTTTCTTCCCTCTTTTTGGCAGGTTTTTTTCACCCGTGGAGTGTGAGAAATAGAGACTGAAGAAGATGAGTGAGCTGGAACAGTTACGGCAGGAGGCAGAGCAGCTGCGAAATCAAATCAGAGTAAGAATTGCTAATTACTTATTTTTCATTATAAAGTTTCTCCTTTAAAGGAATAAAGTGGAAAGATCACATCTATTACTTGCCGCTGTTTAAGTTGTACACATACTTTCAGAATAGTTGTTCAAAACTCAGAAGAGTAAGCCATTGGTATAATGAAATGCATTCATAATATTTCTTGAACAAAATGGTTTATTTCCTGTTGAAGTTTGCTGTGTTTTGTTACTAGTGGGGTGTGTGTGTCTGCAAATTTTTTAGTTTGGATTTAAAAAAAAAAAAAGGAGCAGCAAGCTTCTAGAACCTAGGCATAACAAGTTAAGGATATTAGAAAAGCTTGTTTCTGGGCTAAAATTGACCGCCGCACTGCCACTCTTGATAAGCATGCAGGTCAAAGCATGGAGTGTGAGAGAAGACCTCCTAGGGGTGGATGTCTTTTCTACAAGCCTTATTTCTTTGCTTCCTGTTGAATTAATTTGTTTGAAAATGCAGATCCCCCCATATGTGCTAATTTTTTGTTGAAATTACTCATTGAAGATAAACCAGGTATAAGCTGTCATGTCCAAAGTCAGTTTACCAGGAATCTGTTGCAACATGCCTGTATATTTCACTGGTGCAGATTTCAGTAGAGAGAAAAGTATGATGCATCATGAGGATCTTCAAAGCCTCTTTATTCTTCATTAAAAGTTCCTTTTTCTAAGCATGAAGCATCCACAAATCTGATTTGTGTGGGAACGCCTTAGTTGCAGTCGTTGGCATCAACTAAGACTACAGGTTTCTTAGAATATGTTGCGCATACACTGACATTTTTTAGCATGGCATCTGCTGGCAGCAGTTGTTTTGTGGTGGTCTGCTGCGTAGTGCAGCGGGTGTTAGGCTGCTTATTAGTATCGTCCGTGCGGCAAACACTTCATGTGTTAGTGCTTGTGTTGGGGGCAAATGCTGCTTTCATTGCTGCTCATTCGGCATCATTCAAGGAGAGTTCTGGGTGCTGCTGTTTTCACTTAATACTCCGTTGAAAGACAAGCCAGGGGTCAGTCAGTTGTTGTGGCCCTGGGTACCCCTTCTAGCAGCTCTGTAGAGGAATGCAAATAAATTTTAGTTTAAAAGACTTTTTTGTACATTTAAGCTTTATTACAGTATTGCACAAATAAAAGCTATACAGGATTTTTCAGTTCTTCCTCTGCCTTATGAGTAAAGACTTTCTCATGTTGGGGTGAGCCAGTTAGTCTTTAATTCAGTTCTAGTAATCAATCAGGCTGGTTTTATGCAAAATGGTGTTCTGTGAAGAAGGAGATACTAGGCAAGTAAGGGAGCTAGACTCTGTTGCAGGAATGTTTGCTTTTTTTTAATTTTGGAGCATAAAAATCTGATTGTCACTTTGTATAAGGACACCATTTTGTGGCTTTAACATTTCTCTTGTAACTCTATAACGCACACTCGAAACTGGATCTACACAGATGTAGCTGAGTAACTGTGGCTGTTGCCATTGAAGTCTTTTGGCTCAGCATTGGCAATTAGTGTTTGCCTCCTTGGATCTGAGTGCAGGGGTGGATACCTCATGCTTAATTTTAACCTCCGTTTAATATGCAGTTAGAAAATGCTCTTGATGACTTAATCATTTTTCAAGAAACTTTCTGACCAAATAATTCAGTTTCATATTTGTATAGGCGAATATTTATCTTACTAAATCATTGCACAGTTTTCTTTTTGAATAAATGTTTTGTTTGGGATAGGTAAGAGGATAGATACAGGATCTAAAAAAAAAAAAAAAAAAAGTTTAAGCTTCTAAAATACCTAGTGGGCTGGTAATTTTAAGGAGATTTTTTCTCATGTGCTCCTAGAAAGAGGTGAGGTTGCTAACAACACATGATGTTCTATGTAATAGCTAACAGTTTGCTATCTTAGTTATTTATATTTTTTTGGTTTTTTGCCTGATATTTTCTGTAACAATATAATCATGAAAAATCAGCTTTGTGCTTATAAGTGAATTAAAAGTAAGATTGTACCTAGCAACTTCCTAAAGCAGAATAAACTGTGATGCGCAGCTGCCAGTTTCCAAACAGACTTTTTATAGTCTGTGATGTTTTAGAAATGTCTGGTGATACTTCTTTTTACAATATCTAGGTGGTATGAGTCTCCCCATGCAGTTACTACAGCTGTAGCTCTCTTCTGTACACAGACTACAATGGAGGAATAACATTGCATGAATTTTTAGTGCAAGAATTTTGAAACCTCAGTAAATGATGAACTATTAGATAGCAGGATGGCTTTGTAGTTAAAGTTGGTTCCTGTTTGTGTCTGTAATAAAGTTCCCATGGGATGCGTGTCCTCACTCTGAGAATTGAAATTCAGGGTATGATTTTTGGAAGTGTTGCATACTTGGCACAGTGTCCTTTGAAATTGAATGACATTTTGAACAAATAAGACACTGTATTTTAAAAAAATACATACAATTTTGGCAAAAAAAGATCAAGTCTTAAGTGTGTATGGTAGGAAGTTGTGGGGACTTCACATTTATTGATTTTTCTCACAAATTCTGCATTGTCTACTGCACGAACTGAGAAAAAACTACAATTGTATAGAGTAATTTTTTATGTTCTGACACTAATTATTCTGTTACAATGATGAGTGTGTAGAAATGACAGTTAAAATGGGAGAATTAAAATAGCCTGTTGAAACTTTGCTTTTCCTGCAACTTTGAAAATCCTTATGGCAAGTGTTAGACGATCTTAATAGGCCTAGGTATAGGTGCTGTTAATAGCACTTTCTTTAAGAAAAATTGCTTTGTTTCATTCAGATTGCTTTCAGAATTCATTTTATGTGGAACATCTTCAAGTGTTTCAGCTACACTAAACAATTAAAGTTGTTGAAAATTCAGCGTGTTTCTTCCTGTGGATGAAATACGTCCTGAGTGCTAGGGGATTTGCTGCTCTGGTATTTTAAACCCCTCCTGATTCCAGACATCAACATATTATAAATATTTCTACAGTTCAGACATTTTAAAAATAAGTTGAGATGACTTAATCCACTCTCAGGCTTGCTTCTGGGAAGAAAGCTATAAAGGGTGGTCAAAATAAACATGCACTAAAAAATTGTTAAAGTCACAATGTCAAGTAACTCTCAAGCAAGAGCTTGAAAAATTTCAAGATCCTAGTCTGAATGTGTTGATGCCGTTCCAAAATGTGTGAGTAAATGTTTCTGTTCCTTCTCTCAAAGACGACACTGCCATTAGTGTAGAGATTGAACAGTTTCTTGGGGTGGAGGGACACAGAAATTTGTGGTGAAGGCAGCCATTCGTCACTTCTGGGTTGCCTGCTTCATTGGTTACAGAAGAAATGGAAGTAAAGTCTGTCTTCTAGGTAAAGTTGAATAATATGCAGAAAGTAAGTCCTATGCTGATAGGGTCCGAAATAAAAAAGACAGAGTATCTGTACAGAGACCTGAGCACCATCCATTCCATGAAATGAATGAGGGTGTTAGTAGAATATTATTTTCCTTCATTTTGTGTAAAGTGCATCAGCAGCTTAAGCTTCGGTAAGCCTGCTGTCTGTCCTGCTCTCCAGACCCAGCCTGTTAATTTTCATCCTGCCTCACGACTAGCATCATCACACCTGCGATGGCAAGGAGAGTTACTGCAAGAGCCTAATCTAGCACAAAGCTTGCTAATTGTGTGTAATATGTGGTTGCTTTTTTAGGTGGATCAGTTCTTCCTCTTCTCTTGGTGCTCAGCACACCCTGGGCAAGCACATCCACACCAGGGAAGGAGTACAGGGAAGAGGGTAGGCGCTGGGACTTTAGGATGGCTCCAAATGCCTTTGAATCACATATTCTGTAGAAAGGGAGACTCAAAGGTTGCTGGACCATGACCCTGAAGTCCATCTTCCTTCACTAACCCCCCAGTTTGTGTGCCAGTGCTTTAGATTCCTTCAGCAACGGAACATACTAGGGTGACAGAAGGCATATTGGCGTGTAAGTTGATGTTGACTTGTGGCTTTTTGAGTGTGGTGAAGTCTAGCTTAAGAGTTATTTTTCCTTTAGACACTTTCTCTCAGTCGATGCTCAGTGTTGCCTTTTACATTCAAATTGTTCCATTCTTTCGTTTCAGGATGCAAGGAAAGCATGTAGTGACACAACTCTTGCCCAGGTATGTTCTTGATTCCATGTATAGGCTGTTACTTGATATAGTAAAAAATAAAAATACCTACTATTTATGACTCTAACATGTTCCTGTTTAGTAGTTGAAAGAATAAAGTGAAACCAGCCTTTGGAAGTGTGCTGTGTATTATACAGTTATTTAAAACAAAATGCCACTACAAAAAAAAAAAACCAAAAAACACCCAAAACGCCAAAAGCCAAAAAACCCCCAAAACCCAACCAGTCAAAAAAAACGCCCGACCATTTTAGTGGGTCCTGTTTCCAGTATACCTTTTAAATAGAGTATGTTTTGTGTGTAGTTTATTTAGAAAGACTTAAATAAATGTCTTCTAGGTCTGTTTTAGAAAAGTATTTTGCACTGTCATGCTTCAAAAAGTAACAGTGCAGTAAATATTGGAGGATTTTCTTCCACTGATTTTAATGAAAAATTTTTAGGTCTGATAATCTGATGTAGACTCAATATTACATAGTATTATTTTTAAAAACTTTCTAAAGTTTCAGGTATAGCCATAGCGAAGTGTGTTAGTGTATCTTCTGCAAAAATCTGTTTTCCCCAGTGTTGAATGGACCTAATCCTGGGCCGTACACTGGTATCCTTTTTTTATGTTGCATGCCAAGATAGCTTATTTTCTATTAAAGTTCAAATGTATTTAGTTATCTTGTATATTAAAAATAGTCCTCAGTATCTCAGGGGATTGTTTTATTTATTTTTAGATCACAACAAGTCTGGACTCAGTGGGTCGAATTCAGATGCGAACAAGGCGTACGCTTAGAGGTCACTTAGCCAAAATCTATGCTATGCACTGGGGATCTGACTCAAGGTTTGTACAAGCGATCCTTAAACATGCAGTTTAAGGGTTAGAAATCAGATTGTTGACTTCGGAATTAATACTAGGTTTTAGGAACCATATGGTACGGTGTTGGTGCCCTTGCAGGGGGATCACAGACCATGACTGCGGTGGGTTTTTGTCTTTAGTTACAGTTTGTCTTTTTAAAACGCGTGAGGATTGTGCAGTGGTGATAGAGAAGCCTTGCGTGAAAAGACTTTGCTTGTTCTTACCACAGACATTTTGCCTTTTCCTTCTAGTTTTAACTACGTTCTTTCAGTCTGTCTAAGCAGAGGAGGGTATGTGGTGAGGCGTATTTTTGGAATGATGGATATTGTATTTTCCAATATGTTAAATAATTATGTAATTTCTGTGATAACAGAGATAATAACTTTAAGGACAAATTTTATTTCATTGAAAAAAAAGATCCTTTTTTATGTAGGGGGAAAAGTTACTTAGCTTCTCGGAGGGAGTTTTGTTATGCCGCCTTTAGATGGTCAGATGTTAGTAGAGCCTTGTGGTCTGTTCTCCTTCATGTAGTCCAGAAAGAATCTAGACTCCGCTCTCAAAATAAGATTTATTCTCCCCTAAATTTCTTGTTAATTTTTGTGTAGCTGTATAGTTAAAATATTAGTATACAGAAAATGAAAGCAGCTGTGGAAAGAGAGTTCATAAAAAGTGTTTTCAGTAAGTTGTTTGGTTCTGTCCATTTTTAAAAATAAGTCCTAGTGGACGCAGGGGATTCTTGGGTTGGGTAATATATACCTCTTTGCAGACTTTTCTCCCAACAAATGTTGCCCCCAGTGGGCCCCCCCCCCAAAAAAAAAAAAAAAAAGAAAAAAGGTTGGTAATGAAATTTCTGTATCGGTTGGTAATCATGCATTGAGATTTTTGTTTGTTTTGTATTAACATATTTTATTTTGTGTTTATATTTAGGCTACTAGTCAGTGCTTCTCAAGATGGAAAATTAATTATATGGGATAGTTATACAACAAATAAGGTAGAGTTATTTATAATCCATATCAACAATTCATGCATAATTTGTGTGTTTGAGGGGTTTTGTGTCTATTTTTTCTATGTTTGCAAGGCAAAAATGAGAAGAAGCAGTCTTCTTCTAATTCAAGCATAATCCTTTTTTTTTTTTTTTCCCCCTTTCGTGACTAGCTGTTTACTAGAGATATGTTGTAGGCCGTGTCTCAGAAACAATAGTTCTAGGTAGTATGTAATGTTTTTGCTCCAGTTTGCTGGTGCAGTAACTTGTAGCAATTGCTCTCTGCCTGCATAGTATTGCTTCTGAAACTAATTTGGTTTTAGATTTTAGAAATACACAACCTCAGAATTTACAAGACTGCTTTGCTTTTGAGGGCAGAGAAAGTTTAAACAAAACGAAACAAAAAAACCCCCAACATGTTAAATGAGAAAAGCTGAGGTAGAGTGTGGAGTGGTGATTTGCTGCTGTGAACTGTCCAGTCTCCATAGGTACAACCATCCTACTTTATAACCTTACAGTTCAGGGACATAGAAGAACTGGACAAAGAAACCCCAGTAGAATAAACAAATGTTATAAATGTTTAAGTTTAGAATAGCTTTGTTATTAAATAATGTTGTACTGAAGTTCTGTATATCTACCCTGGACACTACTGGTATTTTTCATGCTAGTATGTATGTATAAATATGGAATGGGTTGTAATATGTTGTAAAATCAAAATACTACAATACACAATCTACTTGGTATGCTTAATCTGCTGTAACTCATTAATGGATATGAATGACCTCATGAGTGAAAAATGAAAGCTAACATGTGACGTAGCATTCATGAGCTCTGTCTTTCTGAAGATGCACGCCATTCCTTTGAGATCCTCCTGGGTGATGACTTGCGCATACGCACCATCTGGAAACTACGTTGCCTGTGGTGGATTGGACAACATCTGTTCCATATACAACTTAAAAACCAGAGAGGGCAATGTGAGAGTGAGCCGAGAGTTGCCAGGGCATACAGGTCAGCCATATTCTTACTTCAGAAGAGGTTACAGGCTAGCTGTGGGAGAACTTCAATCACGGCTCTCGGATTTTAATCTTCAGTTACTACTCCTGTGTCTGAAACTAACATAACTGTTTCGGTTTTAGGATACTTGTCCTGTTGTCGCTTTCTAGATGACAACCAAATTGTCACTAGCTCAGGAGACACCACTTGGTGAGTTTTTGAGCTCTGTTGGCCTTTCCCCCCCACACCCTTCTTTTTTTCCCTTTTTTTTTTTTCTTTTCAATGCCTTAATTCATGTTTAAAACTTAAACTCTCAAATAACCAAATACATTGTGTTAATGTTGTCGCTTTATCTGCAGCGCTTTGTGGGATATTGAAACTGGTCAACAGACCACCACATTCACTGGGCATACTGGCGATGTGATGAGTCTCTCTCTAAGTCCAGATATGAGGACTTTCGTTTCGGGTGCCTGTGATGCCTCCTCGAAGCTTTGGGATATTCGAGATGGAATGTGCAGGCAGTCATTCACAGGGCATGTGTCAGATATTAATGCAGTTTGTGTAAGTGATCATTTGTATTTCCGCATGGGAAGAAATGGGGAGGATAAAAGCTATAGTTGCATGAATTCTGGATTACTGGATTTTAAATCTGCTGGATTTACTTAGATTTAAAGTAAATTACTTAGGGTAGAGACTGTAGAATTGTATGTAATGAAGAAGGTTGTCTAATAACTTGACGATTAGTTTATAACTGAATTATGTTTACCATTATCTATGATGCATTGAAGTGTTCTTGGAATAGTTTCAGCTATGTTTTTGTTCAGTAACGGAGACCTTACTTTTTTTTAAAAAGCAAAGAATGGAGATGGGGAACTTTTTTGCAGTGTGACAGTATGTTCAAAACTGAAAATTGTAGATAAACACAATATGCTGAGAGGGAGCAAAATAGTCAGGCATTCTCATCTGAAAAGTGTTTTGTTGAACGAAAGTGTACTTGGTATTTTCTGTTGAAAAGAGCTTTCAGCAAAATATTCTGGAAGGCAAAGTTAAAATCAGGACTTACATTGAATCTTCATCCCTGGAATAATTTTGTAATATTTATAAACTGGATTGTATTTCCTCTCTTTCATAGTAACACTATGTTCTGATCTGCAAGATACCAGCTCTGATAAATAGGGAATGAATCTAAGTCTAAGCTGCATCTGTTTTTGATAAACATGAAAAATTATTAAGGCTGAGAAAATACCAAAAGCATGACCAGTAGAAAAATGCAGTTCCTATACTTAGACCTGGAATCCTGAGATATGCTGAGCTCTTTTCATTACTATTTCAATCAATATGGCTGTTGTAAGAATGACTGTGACTTGGAGTAGGTTTTTTGGAAATGGAATTGCTTGCTTGCAATCTTCCATCTTGGCTAGGCAACCTGGCTGACCAGCTCAGGATGGAACATTGTGTACCTCTTCACTCAGGTCTTCCTGTCGCGCAGCCAGGATGCACATAACTGCATTTTGCTTGATTTTGTAGGAGTTGCATTCCCTTTGACTCCTGTTACACCACATACAGGGACTGTCTGGGTAAAATTCCAATCATTCAGGTGTTACCAATACTATTCTAGAAGTGCTTTGTGCATAGTTGTGTGTATGCATTTTTTTAACACACAGGCTTTTAAAGAAAATAAATCATTCTGCCATTATCTGGTCACCCTGGCAAAATAATCCTGTAATGATTCAGAAATAATGCATGAACAATGTCTCTTTCTGGTGTCAAACTCCTGTCTCTTAATTAAAACTTTCAGTTTTTCCCTAATGGACATGCATTTGCCACTGGATCTGATGATGCTACTTGCCGGCTCTTTGACCTACGTGCAGATCAGGAATTAATGATGTACTCGCACGACAATATCATCTGCGGAATCACTTCTGTAGCCTTCTCAAAAAGCGGTCGCCTCTTGCTAGCAGGTTATGATGACTTCAACTGCAACGTGTGGGATACTCTGAAAGGGGAGAGAGCAGGTGAGTACACGTAACTGCAATGAGCTGAAGTTTTCCATTTCCTTAGCAGCAGATGGATGTTGGAAATTTGTGCAAAATGCAGAGCCAGTCCATTGTCAATGCTATTGCTGATGTTACGGAACCTGACTGCTGTCTTTTAACACTGTTTTCTTTTTGAATGGCATCCTTTTATTTTTATTGCATTTCGTTGTATCTGCCAGTTGTTACATTGCATTACGGTTTCATCTCTGTGATGTGTGGAGTAAATGCTCCAGTCAGTGAAATACTGTTCTCTTTGGGTATTGGCCATTATATATTTGTGTGCTGGAAAATACCAGCTCTTGGCGCTAAGGAATAGCCTTTGAAATTTATTTCACTGAAGCATATGAAATTAAGTAATACAAAATTACATATGTGCGTTGACTTTTGCACCCATCGGAGGAAGTAGTTCAGATAATAGTAAGTTACAGTAGTCTCTTTGCTTTGGGGACCATAATTTCCTGCTGTTGGGAGAGGGGGGAAGCGGACACTTTCAGTCCTTGAATTAGTCACTTGTTGTTAGGATAGAACAGCTACATCTTTCTCACTTCGTACAGTAGTTTCAAGGATGGAGCCTGGTTCAGTTCTGAACCTTGCTTCTGCTCTTCAGACTGAAAATACATCCTTTTCCTTAAGGGACATGGACAGGCTGATCCCTGACCTTGATGTGGTACCTTGGGAGAGCAGACAAGTGCAAGAATGGGTAAAAGGAAAGCAAAAACAAAGCAGGAAGAGGCAGGGTACAGCTTTTCTAATAGTCTGACACAATACGTGGGGGACATTCAATCCCTAAGGTTTGCAAAACATGGGGAAACTGAAGGTGGTTCCTGTATCCAGGGCATTGTCAGAAGACATCACGCGTGATTTTGGAAGTACTTAATGGCTGAAATTGTGGAAAGCATTGCTGAAAACGGGAAAAAACAGTAGAGAGTCCGATGAGGGATGAGGAGAGCAAAATGGGGGCAATATTGTATGTACATATTTTTAAAAACCTCATTGTTTTTTGTTGTGGTGTATATAATTCTTCAGGGTAAAGACAAAAAGGATGATTGGATCTTGCATTACATCATTTTTAGCAAAAGACTTACCTGGGAAAGCAGAGCTAACAGCTGACATGACATCCTATGAATATTAACTTCCATTGCTTCTTCTTTTCCAGGTGTCCTTGCTGGCCATGACAACCGTGTCAGCTGTTTAGGTGTTACTGATGACGGCATGGCTGTAGCTACAGGGTCTTGGGACAGTTTTCTCAGAATCTGGAATTAACTGGGAGCCAAACATGTACATTCTCCATTTGAGATCTGGAGAGATCAATGCTGCAGCCTATAGCTGTGAAATAACATTTCTACCTTGTATTTGCAGGTGAAGTTTTTCTATTCACTGATTATTACACAAAAAGGCTTTCTGTAAACTAGAAAAAAAATCAAGTGAAGAAATAGGGGAGGGGGGAAGAAATCACTGACTTTTTAAAAGGGGCCAGCACACATAATCATGGTGACCGTCAAACTAAGAGCCAGTCTTTTTGTTTTTGGTGGTTTGGTTAGATTGTCCTTGAAGGGTTTTTGCTTGTGCTCAGTCTGCTAATCCTGTACTTTTTTTGTACATAACAGAATATACACGTTATAGCAGCCAATCATGTAACATTTGTCTGTATGTAAAGAAATATGTTTGCATTTTTTAAGGAACTACATTTATAGCTTTGCTTTTAACCCGAGATGTCACTTCTGAGTTTTGTAGTGGATGAACTAGATTGCTGTTTTAAATGTTTTTGTGAATTTACTGTAGATAAAGTGAAGCCAATGGTATGTATGTGTTTTTATAATGGAAGGCATTTGAATTTTTTTTTAAAGGCCCTGGAGACTCCCAGTTAATACCTACCGCCTTATTCACTCACTTCTTGAACTGCTTGCCTATTTTTAATCATGGGGGTTCTTCCTTCAAGCCAGTGGTTCCTGGTTCATCCATTGGCAGTCATGGCCTCCAAACACCAAGGAGTTAATGCCAGGCAGACTTGCAACAACAGCAAAAGTAACTTTAAAAAAAAAAATTAAAAATTTGGTTCTAGAAGTATTAGCTTCTTACTGCAGCTTTTTGCATCAGTTATTCCACGCAGTCCTTGGGTATGGAAGCCAAGTGACCTGCATTGCTGTCGTTGGGTGACTGAGTGCTTTTTCCTTTTGACAATTCAGCTCTAACTAAATGAGGTAGTCTTGGCCCATGACAAACTCTAGCTGATTTGCACTAACAAAATGATTTGGCATGATGCTCGGTGCGCAGAAAGCAGTGTATTTGCAAAGCTTGCTCAATTACCACAATCATCTGAGAAATTCAGGAGGACTTTGCTTAAATTCTTGAAGATTTAAATGTGCAGTTAATCGCCTGTAATCCCCCTCCAAATTAGGGGGTTGCCAAAGCATACCACAACCAAAAGCGCTTGTTGTCAGTTATGTGCAGTGTGAATTATAAAAGGAATTGTGTAACTTACAATGAACCAAATAACCTTACTTACCTGTGTGACCCTTTATAACTTCATACTATAAACTTCGCGACTTGCTTGTTCTTCTGTGGTCACGGAGGTCTGTGCCATGGTGGCTTCTTTAGATGCTAATTGTTCTGCCGCTCTGACACTGTAAATAGCCATTTCCTTTCCTGTTTCTGATTTTATTCTGATTTTTATGTCAATTGCTTATAAATGATAGGTTCTGATCAGGTACAGCTGAGTGTAGATTTAGGAAAATCAAGAGACTAATGCCCATTTGAAACTACCCAGATTGCTTAACTTTTTGGTGCCTGGCAGCATGCCTGTGCATGCAGTGGATGTTCTCTTGGGAATCTGAATGTCTGTGGCGTTTTTGTAAAAGGGAATTAATTCTATTGGCTTCTCTTAAGTGACTGACTTTAAAGATAACGTGAATTTTAAATCATCAGGTTGGAAGATAATGTTAATCTGCCCTCATCTGAAGTTATGGGGAGTCTGCGTATCTGTGGCTGTTCTTACGCACAGTATTGGTCCCTTTAGTAGGGATGGGGTTACGCCCTGGTAAAGGTAACTAGTACTATTCCTATTTTAACTGAGTTACCGGCAAAGGTATATTCTTCTCCTGGTCCATTTTCCAAGCTCCACCATTGATGTTGAAGTTTCTCAGGAGGAGCTCCATCTGCAACATTGTTGGTATAGCTGCTATGATCGGTAGCCGTTGAGCGGCTGCTCTATCAGTATAGGGAGGCACAACTGCCATGTTCCTGAGTCAGGTTCAGAAGCTGATACGAGTGGAACATCATCTGTAGGAGTGTGGTGTTCTCCATTTGCTGTGCCAGATGAGTCCGGCGTAGGCGTTGGAGTAGTAGGGGTCAATGGTAGAAGAGAAAGATAAACATAGCACTCCAATTAGGGTCCCCAAGACCTTTGTCCAACTGTCAGGACCACTTGACGACGTAATCCTGGTGTCATACTTGGTAGGGGGTATTTGCAAGGTCATTAGGTGTGATGTTCGGACGAGGGAGTCCATCAGGACACAGTGTCACACTGGTGGCAACTCCGGGTATTAATCTCAATGGCCTTGGGGGAGGTGTGGTACCTCGTAGGGGAAAATAGGTCCCGTGTGGCCCCCATTCGGAACGCGATGTAGCTATAGGCCAAGGCAATGCAATGGGGAGTCGAACGTACTGAGAGGCACGACATGCAGGCGATTAAGGTGGGGGCTCTGCATAAGGTCTCCCGCACTTAATGTGCATGAGACAAAATGTCTCCAAATCTTACACATATCAGTTACACTCTCAGGAAAAAGGTTCTTGGACCATTGTTTCCCTTTAGCCCAAAGCATAGCCCATTTCCACTCTCTGTGCGGATCAAAATTGGGGTCATAGTTACTGACACATCTTATCGAGAAACATCCTGCTTTGATATCATGCCAATAGATCTGATCAGGGTCAGTTTGACATAACAAATTATATAACAAAAATACAGAAGTATTTTTCTTTTTGCAATACTTGGGGTTGTCCATCACCTCCGTAGGTTACTTCAGTAACTGTGGTAGGTCTAGTTTGAATTGAGGGAATTTCCAGTGGTTCAGGAGCAGCAGTCGGAGGAATCGGGGGGAAGGGGTTGCTCTCCATCTCGTTCCAGATCATTGCAAATATCCCCATCCCACATTTCTGGGTCTACTAATAATTGCTGAGGTTTTGCCTTTTTAATGGTGGGTACCTGACTCAATTTGGCACTCTTTTTGACATTGATAATACCTTTTTTTCCATTGGATCCCTTCATTCTCCTTTCTCTCTGTTAGTGCACGCTGTTGTTTTTCACCCTCCTGTGAGGCCTCAACTGATTTTAACTGCAGTTCTATTTGTTTAAGAGTAGCTTTAAGTAATGCAGCAAGAGCTGCGGTGATATATCCGTGACCTTTCCTGTGTTTAAGGTTATCAGGTTTTTGTTTCGCAATAAATTCCACTAGGATGCTTTCATCCCATCCTTTAACACAATTACAAGCGGCCCAACATGTGGTTAGAGGAGTACAATATATTCCCTCCCATTCTTTTTTTGAGAGATCCACTAAAGGCCCATCTTCCCATAATATGGAGCTCCCAGAACTGCTGCGTCCTGCTGCCAGCTCCATGCTTTATGCCCACCACCCCGAGAATCCCCCAGTTCGACTTGCTGCTCGGTGCAGCGTATAGTTCCCTCGATTGATAAAGTTCAGGATGCTGATTGCGCAGAGCCCATTGCTGCCGTTTTTCATACACAAGTAATGTTTTCCACAAACGTGTACAAATAATGCAAGCCAACAAGCAAAAACCAAAATCAGTGATACTCAGCCAGCTATCGCTGTATGTGCAGTGGCAAGTGGAATTGCTCGTTAAGATGATGAATTCCAATTTTGAATTTGAGATTTGTAATCTTGCCTACTACACCAGTTTGTTGTAACCTCAATACTGATGGGGTTATCCCTTGGTAAAGGTTCAGTTGACTGAGTACAGGGCTCCAAGTCGCTCCCAGGCTGCTTAATAAGAACCACCCCGGGGCAATACCCAGCCCATTCCTCTGCAGACCTACTGCCGCCCGGCTATTTCACGGACATCTGCCTGGATTAAAGACCTTGAAAGGTGAGGTAGTGATACCCAGCCAGCCAGTCGATAGCGGCTGCACATCCCACCGTTACCCAGCGGGTGGGTGCCGAGGGGCAAAGAGATCCACCGGGCAAGATGTACATCTAGTGGCACGTGTCGCTGAGTCACGAGTAACGGGCTTTGGCCGCTGCTGTTCCAGTTTGTGAATGTTTTATTAGTAGCCGAAGTGGCATGCCACTAATCGCTACAATTATAATGCAGACAACTGCTGTCCTGACAACGATCCCAACTGATAGGTGACAGGAAAACATTAAAGCTTATGGTCAAGCGTTCTTGTCCGGGAAGGTACCACCGTGCTGGTGGGTCCTGCAACGAGCTCCAGCCCGTGTTCCGCTTTTATAGGGAATGGCGTTGCCTACACGCAGCTACTAACTTTGAGGTTTTGATCCGGAATCAAACCGCTATTTTAGCTCTTTTGCACGTGAGCCCGTTTGTGATGGCTCAGCCACCAAATGCGGTTGATGACGTCCGTAGCAGGCAGGGCTCTAGGGCCTGGCGCTGGGTCAGGTAGTCAATGTAAGTGCCCGATGTCCTGTAATATACCAAACCAGATTTGGGGCCAAGATGACTATTTGTCAAGTTTCTGACATTTGTAATCCTAAATTTCAGTACTTCCAGACTGTGCCTGTAAACTTGCCATGTCTATAATGGTGAAGGTGCCAATAAGTGTACCAATCATAGTAAATTCACTTTAAAAAAAAAAAAAAAAAAAAGGTGCATCTTTTGCTAGAGAAGTATACATTCACCAACAGCAGACTGTGGTGTAGGACCAAAATCACACTATATTGTATGTCACAGGAATTCCTCAGAGTTTTGTGTTATGATCTGTCTGCATTAACAGAACTATTAGGGAATTCTTGTTACTCTCTTATGTGAGCAGCTCTTTGGAATCTTGCAGACTTGGTTTATTTTTTAGTGGTGCACTTGACTCTTTCTTTTTTTAACTCACAGCTGCCTTGAGTGAATCATTCTGGAAACTTGTTACTAAGGAATTTTAAGAAAATATTCTTTTTCTAAAAAAAAAAAATTTTCCATGGAAGTGTGTTTTGAACCGATTTCCTAGTCGAGACCTTTGCGAAGACAGGTGCCATTTTTACATTCTGGTATTAAAACTAGTTTCTACTTGCGAAACTCCAAAAACAATTTTACAAATGTATATAACTTTTCTTAAAAGTTCAGGTAGACTGTAAGCATGGTAATGGCTCTCGTACAGGTATTACTGCAAATAATTTCACTATTGTTGTTTGATGGGTAATTGTCTATGGGATTCAGCTGCTTTTTAAATACATAATGAGGAATGCCAGCTACTCGCTAATGAGGTTTCCAAAAGCATCGTACAATACTTGCCAGCTTCTGCTGTCCGGTTAACCGGTGTGCGCAGT